AAAGGGGGAGGTGGATTTATTACAACTTAACTGAATAAAGTCTAATAAACCGCGAGATCACTCCGGACCCAGATCCGGAGTCTCATGCATAATTCACTGAAATTACTTCAACGCAAAGGTGCCGAGAGCACTGAGTAACGCAAAGTCTCAGCGTAGCTCTGCGCGCTCTGATGCTCCGCGTTGAAGCAATTTTCCGCATTCCCACTTCCTACTTCCGCTTTCCACTTTCCCACATCGTACACCGAAGCTTCAGCGAAGGTGTATATTTGTTCCAAATAAATAACGCCATAAACCAACAAACAAAAATAACCGCCAAAGCGCCCGGCATCAGGCACAGCATTAGCGAGCTGTGGCGCTTTCGAGGCCTGCTCTACACCTTTGCCTACCGCGATTACCGCGCGCGTTACGCCCAAACCATGGTGGGATTTGGCTGGGCCATTTTGCAGCCCATTATCAGCCTGTTGGTGCTTTTCGTGCTTTTTCAACGCGTACTGCAAACCAACACCCAAAGCATCAGTTTTTTCCCCTACGCCCTCAGCGGCCTCATTTTCTGGACCTATTTCAACTTTGTGGTGGGCCAGGCGGCCAGCAGCCTCATCAACGCCCAGCGCATGTTGCAAAAAATTTACTTCCCCCGCCCCATTCTGCCGCTCAGCAAGGGTTTGGTGGATTTGGTAGAAGCGGCCGTGGCGCTCCTTATATTCATTGGCTTCGCTTCCGCGGAAAGTGGTTTCAGGCCCTCGGGCTTGCTGCTTTGGCCATTTTTGCTGGCGGCCGTGATGTGCGCAGCCTGGGGGCTGGGGCTTTGGTTTAGCGCCCTGAGCATACGCTACCGCGATTTGCAACAGGTAGTGCCTTTCTTGCTGCAACTTTTGTTTTTCCTCACCCCCGTGGCCTACGCCCCGGAGATGCTGGTTAACATTCTCAGTCCAGAAACGTATTGGTTAGCCTATCTCAACCCCATTACCGGCATTATTGAAATTTTCCGGGCCGCAGTATTCGATCTGACCTTTTCGAGCAACAGCTTCATTTCCCTGGGAGTTGCGATGCTACTCTTACTTTCCGGCTGGTGGTACTTCAATCGCGTAGAACGCAAAATGGCCGACCTGATATGACGCACGCCCTGGAAATAAAAAACCTCAGCAAGCGCTACCGCATCAGCGGCAAGGAAATGTTTAACGCTTTGGATAACATCAACCTCACGCTACAAGCCGGTGAAGTTCTGGGCCTCATCGGGCACAACGGAGCGGGAAAGTCAACCCTGTTGAAAATCCTGTCACGCATCACCTATCCGAGCGCAGGCGAAGTAAACATCAACGGTTCTATTGCCTCCTTGCTAGAAGTGGGCACCGGTTTTCATCCGGAATTAACCGGCAAAGAAAACATCTTTTTAAACGGCTCCATTCTGGGCATGAGCCGCCCTACCATCAAGCAGCGCTTTGACGAAATTGTAGAATTTGCGGGCGTTTCGCAGTTTTTAGACATGCCCGTAAAGCGCTACAGCAGCGGCATGTTTGTGCGACTGGCTTTTTCGGTGGCGGCCCATTTAGATGCTGATATTCTCTTGATTGACGAAGTGCTGGCCGTGGGCGATCAGGAATTTCAAAAGAAATGCCTGAGCCGCATGAACGACATCAGCAGCCGGCAAGAACGCAGCATCATTTTCTCGAGCCACAACATGAGCGCCATCAGCAGCCTTTGTCATAGGGTGGGTGTGCTGAAAAACGGCCGGCTTATGAAGCTGGGCGAGCCACAAAAAATGATAGATTTTTACCTGGAGGAGATGGACAATTACCAGCGCCATGTTCCCATTGCCCAGCGCACGGATCGGGAGAATGACGGCCGGGGAAAAATAATCCGCCTAAGCCTGCCCAATCAAAAAGTAATTTCTCAACAAACCGCACAGTTAGAAATTGAAATTCAAATAAACGAAGCCCCGGTGCAAAGTGCGCGCGTGGAGCTACACGTGTTTAACAGTCGCACCAATTTCATTACCACCTTAGAGCATTCCTTTGCTCCGCAAGGCAACACGCAAAAGCTGACATGCACCTTGCCGCACATGAATTTCATGCCCGGTGATTTTTTCATCAACGCCCACCTATTCCTCAACGGGCAGCGCAGCGATTTTGTGGGGCGCGCACTCTACTTCACCGTGGTGGAAGAAAATTTCAAAGCCAACAAAATGGCCAACTTGCGCAATAACCCGGGGGTTTATGTGGCGCAGGAGTGGCGGCCCCTCGACTCCCCTTCGTAAAGCTCCCGCCTTAGTCGGGCAAGGCAGGACAAGCTGCTCGGGGAGGCTAACTTGCAGGGTTCTGGTTGCCATTGCAGCCTTTGGTGGTTGCGCTAGCTTACTCCTCAAGGGGCTAATCTAACCCTCCTTTTGAGCAACGATCTTGGCGGTTAGCCGATTCGTGCACAGTCCAACACTTTCACAGTTCTTGATTTATTCACCACCAAAGCCCTTTCTTCACTCTTGGCAATGCCTCAAATTTCTGCACCCCTGCCTCATAAAGTTGTTGGTCAAGCCGGTTGATGGCGGCAATTTGCTGGGAATATTGATCGTAAAGATCATTCCACATTTGCGGGGAGCTCCTGGTGTTATCCTTGCCAATTTGCCTAACTTTAAAGCCCAGGCGCTTTTGCAGATCCTGCGCTGCTTCATTTAACTTTTCCGAAGGCGCCACCCAATCCAACTTCCCCAAATTTTCCAGCGCCAGTGTCAACAACTCGCTTTCATCTACTTCCGTAAAAAGCTTATCGGCCAACATTTGGCACTGAAAGTTTTGAGCGTAAGCCGACTGCAAGTAATCCTCAAAGTCGACATATTGGCTGAACTCTTCCTTCAGCGCGGCCTCATCGGCATGAGCCATGTGCACGTAACGGGAAATTACCCGGTGCACCGGATCTCTCAGCAGAGTAATCTTGAAAAAATCGGCCGGCACTTCCGGCAGCATCTTGAAGGTAAAATGGCCGTGAATGAACTTCTTCCCTTCGGCCACAGCCCGGTTCAGGGCCTGCGCATCATTGCCGTGAATATAGGCGATGTGCTGTGCGCGGTACTTTTTGTTTAAAAGCTTTACCAATGAGGTGCCGGCTGTTTTAGGCACATGCAGAAAAATTAACTTTCTTTGACTCATAGTAAATCCAATCTATGCCCAGCGCACCGTTTATCATTATTGGCATGCATCGCAGCGGAACATCTTTCCTGGCAAAAGTATTGGAAAAATCAGGCATATTTATGGGCGTGGTGAAAGACCACAACTACGAAGCCATGCATTTCCTCAGCCTGAACCAGCAAACCCTGTGGGCGGCCGGTGCCGATTGGGACACGCCCAAAGTACCCGATAAACTTTACTGGAAAACTATTCCCGCGCAAGAGCTTTTTTACGAACATTTTAAAGTAAACGGCAAATGGGCCCGTTTTAAATTGAAGCTTCGCAATCCGCGCTGGGGTTGGAAAGAACCGCGCAACACCTTTACCCTGCCCATGTGGCTTGAGTTGTTTCCTCAGGCCAGGGTGCTGCACATTGTGCGCCAACCAGACGATGTGGTGCGCAGCCTGCAAAACCGCAACCAACGCAAAGGCGAAGTGTACCGCGAAAAACTGAGCGATAAGGAATTTTGCCTCAAGCTGATTGACAAATACGTGAGTACCGCCCGCAGTTATGGGCCCGAGCTTAAGACGCGTTTCATGGAAGTAAAGTATGAAAAGCTGCTGGCGATGGACAAGCAAACCATAAGGCGATTGGACAATTTCTGCAGTATTTCATCGGCCGCGGCCATTAAAAAGCTGGCCAAATGATGCCTCAGGTTTCGGTAATTGTTCCCAATTACAACCATAAAGCTTACCTACCCAAACGGCTGAAAAGTATTGCCGCGCAGAGCTTCAGCAATATAGAGATCATTTTACTGGACGATGCCAGCACCGATGGGAGTCAGCAGCTTTTGGCCGAATTTGCAGAAAACGAACCACGGGCAGCTTTTTACCCCAACAAGCGAAACACGGGCAGCCCTTTTGCGCAATGGAACCGCGGGGTTGAACTGGCCCGGGCCGACATTATCTGGATTGCCGAAAGTGACGATTACTGCGAAGCGGATTTTCTGGATAAGCTATTGCCCCTCATGCAGAGCGACCCCGATATTGGCATCGCCTACGGGCAGTCGTGGTTGGTAGATGAGCAAAACAACAAGTTAAACAGCTACCAGGAAAACCTAAGCTTTATTTACAAGAGCGATGCCTGGCAGCAGGATTTTGTAGTGGACGGTAAGCAGGCCTGCCGAAATTGGCTCTTGTTTCACAACCCCATTCCCAACGCCAGTGGCATTCTTATGCGCAAACAGGCGTATCAAAAGGCCGGCCGGGCCGATACCAGCATGCGCCTCAATGGCGATTGGCACCTCTACGCCAAAATTTTGCTCCATCACAAACTGGCTTTTAAAGCCGAGCACCTGAATTATTTTCGTGTACACACGCAAACCCAAAGGCACAAATCGCGTAAAAACGCTTCGGTGTACCGGGAGCTAGTGGCCATCAATAGCCTCATTCGCACGAAAGTGCCCAAAAGCCGGGCGACTGCCGATAAAGCCCTGGCCGAAATTGGAGATTGGTGGATTGGCAACCTGCCCTATCACAGCTATACGCGCGAAAACCGCAGGCTGAATAAAAATTTGTACGCCCTTTTTAAAAAGCATAAAAACAATTTGCCCTGGCGTATTTTTTTAACCTATGTGATTAGCTACACGCGTGATGCACTGACTTTTTTGCACTTGCTAAAACCGCTGAAAAAGGCGCGCAGCAAAATGTTTCCGGGAAAATACTGGGATAAATGAAACCTTTCTTCTCCATCATAATACCGGTTTTCAACGCAGCCGAAACCCTGGAAGAGGCGGTGGAATCGGCCCTGGAACAATCTTTTTCTGACTGGGAAATTATTGTGGTAAACGATGGCTCTGAGGATGGAAGCGCCAAAATTCTGTCGCGATTAATTGAAGACAATCCCAACCTCAGCATTCACATGCTCGATCAGCAAAATAAAGGCTTGGGCGCGGCCCGCAATGCAGCCATCGCGGTGGCGGGAGGTGACTATTGCGCCTTCTTGGATGCCGATGACATCTGGCGACCCGAAAAATTGGAGTCTTGCCATGAGTTTTTGAAAGACAGTGCGGAATGTGATGTATTGTACCATCCGGTGATTGTTTTTGGCCGCACAGATGACAAGGAGCGCAAGGCCTTTCCGGTGCGGAAGATGGAAGATATTTTGGAGCATGGTTTACCCATTGTGCCCTCGGCCAGTTTGGTGAAAACCGAAGTTTTAAAAGAATTTGCTTTTAGCACACACCCCGATTTTCACGGAGCGGAAGACTTGCACCTTTGGCTGCGCCTCCTCAAGGCGGGAAAAACTTTTAACCTGTGGCCTGAGGCCCTTACCTGGTACCGCGAAGAAGGCGGCATGAGCTCGCAAATAGAACAGCATTCACGCAATACGCTAAACGTGTTGAAGCACTTCTACGACCAAGGTTTTTACAACCAAACCTATTTGGAGCTGGCGCGTAGAAGAAAATATTACGAGGTGGCGCGCTTTTATCAAAAACGGGGCGCCCGCTTTGAAGCCGAGCGCTACTATTCCGCTGCCGATAGCAAATCGGTGAAAATTGCCGGGCTTCGGTTTTTGAACAGGCTGGGGATAAGATTTTGATTGCGCTTCTACTGCCGCTCCCGCCAAAGGTCGGGCACGGCAGCGTGCAAAGCTGGAAATAATCCTAAACATCTGTCAGACTGAGCGATAGTCGAAGTCCTCACCTCCAGAAAAACACGGTAATAGTTCAGCATGAGACTCCGGATCAGTGTCCGGGGGGGGGGGTGACTTCACGGCACCATTCCGGCCAGGGAGCCAGAGTCTAACGCTAAAGAAAAAATGTGTTGCAGCTGGTCTAGGATACCTCTAGCATCTAACTACTAATTACTAACATCTCACACCTAACATCACCTTAACACTAAAACACCACCATTAGCTATCTTGCAGCCCTTATGAGCCTGGTAGATAAAAAAGATGTAGCCCGCGTGGTACAGCTTGACCGAGTGAAGCTTAGCGCCCTGGCGAAACCCATTATGGATATTTTGGGCATTAGCGACATCAACCAGGTGTATCAGAAATTTGAAGAATTACAGGGCCTGGAATTTATCGATGCGGTGCTGGACGAATTCAAAGTTGAATTTGACTTTTACGCTGAAGAACTCAAGCGCATACCCAAAGAAGGGCCATTTGTAACGGTATCAAACCATCCGCTGGGCGGCATTGATGGCATCATTCTCATCAAGCTCATCAGTCAGGTACGGCCCGATTATAAGGTAATGGCCAATTTTCTCCTGCAAAAAGTAGAGCCCCTCAAAGACTATTTTATGCCCGTCAATCCTTTTGACGATAAGGATATCCGCAGCAGCTTTACCGGCATTAAAGAAAGTATGGCACATATTCAGGCCGGGCACGGTTTGGGCATTTTCCCGGCCGGGGAAGTAAGTACCTATAAATTTGACGAGCGAAAAATAGTTGATAAGCAATGGGAACCCGGGGCACTGCGCATGATTCAGAAAATGAAGGTGCCGGTAGTGCCGGTTTATTTCAAGGCCCGCAACAGTGCTTTTTTCTACCTGCTCAGTTTGCTTCACCCCACCTTGCGTACCGCCAAACTCCCCTCAGAGTTGCGCCATCAGCGGAATAAGTCCATCCGTATACGCATAGGCCGCGCCATTTATGCAAAGGAGCAGGAAGGCTATAAAAACCCCGAGCATTTTTCGCAGTTTTTGCGACAACGCACCTATTTGCTCAAGGAAACGCTGGGACCGGATAAGAAAATATTTTCTCTGCAACGACCAGAAACAGCGGAGGCAATTTTACCGCCCATTAAAAAAGAGCTGCAAACCACCGAAATTGCAAATCTGATGAGGCGGGGCGAATGCCTGCTGTTGGAACAAAAAAATTACCAGGTCTTCTTAGCCGCTTCGGGCGAAATACCCAACTTGCTCACCGAAATTGGACGCCTGCGCGAAATAACCTTCCGGGCCGTTGGCGAGGGCACCAACCGCCCGCTGGATTTGGATGTATACGATTACCACTATCACCATCTGATTCTTTGGGATACAGAAAGTGAGTCCCTGGCCGGAGCGTATCGCTTGGGGCTGGGGCCTGATATCTATCGCAAATACGGGTTAAACGGGTTTTATATTTCTACGCTCTTCAAGCTTAAATCGGG